TCACGCTTCAGCCTATGGCCCCGTGTGATTAATCTCCCACACGGCGAGTGCGACTCCAACGGAGCACAAATCAGACAGATAGACACAGACACACGCACACACACATACACTGGGAGAATATTTGGCGTGTATAGAACAAATGATTTCCCACTGTTATTGATGATGTGTTGATTAGGTTCTGAAACACAACACAGACAACAAATTGCGGCCATGTAAATTTCAAGTCGATTGAGTCCAGAGTTGAGGGCGCTGCGTTTCATTATGAATTTCACTTTGAACTCGTGCCGCGCGCGCATACACACACACACACACACACAAACACAGGCACATACACACACGGGACGTCCTGCTGGCTTTTAGTATGCTGCTGCACATGTCCAGCAACAAAAAATTGGGTCATGTTTGCTCAAAATACGTATTTTGTTGCAAATTGCAAGAATCATGCAAAACAGCGTGTGTCTAATGAATTACCCAGTCAACTTTATGTGTGTGTGCGAGAGTGTGTGTGAGTGTGTGTGTGTGTGTGTATCTTTTGTTTCAAATTACACAGCAAACTAATGACTAGACAGCGCGCGCTGCACGTTCACATGTTGCAAATGCCGCAGTTACGCAAAATGCAACGTCCATTTATTAGAAGTTTTCTGCAGCTGCCGCCGCCTGTCAAACTCAATAGTCGTGAAGGGGTTTGCCCCCCAGCGATTCCCTTTTAATTGCTTGGCGGAGAGCAAGTCAAGAGTATTTCAAGAGTTGGCAATAATATTTGAAATATTTATATTGTTAACTTGCATGAGAAATTGCTTTGAGCGTATTGACAGAAACACAAATCGTGCATAACGGATTTTAGGGTAATTTTAATTGAAGTTAAATTATTTCTATTCCTAATCACATGCTCTTTAGAGCAAATAATTATATGCCAATAGTTGGTCTCAGAGCAAAACACACAGAAAATATATATGACGCTTGCAGTTCCCAGCTTGGACAGGGCTACAAGGCAAGGTCTGCGCAATTCAAGCGCATATCCATCGAACATATTACTTCCTTCTTTCAATTTAAATTTCTTAGCCAAATTAATTTGAGAATTATTTCCCATAAATGTGTTTAGCATTTCCTATAATTTAACAAAATTAATCACATAATTTGCTTGAAATATAATCGTGGCATGGCTCGTTGAATGATTGTCAACGCAGCGCAAATTCATATAATAAATTATCATTGGAGCATCCAACGTTTATTAAATCAAAATTTCATGCCAGAATTCCTGCATAAATTATGCTGTACGGACAATGGAATTGCACTGGACACGCCCCCACTTACTGGCCAGTCAATCAGTTAGTTAGTTAGTCAGTCAGTCAGTCAGTGAGTCAGTCAGTCAGTCAGTCAGTCAGTCAGGCTAATGGTCTGACCAATTGTCGCAAATTAGTAAGGCCAACCCACACACACACACACACACACACACGCAACGTAAACACATGCTGAGAGCAGCTGAGGCAGACGAGACGTAGAGACAAAGGTAAATGGCCAGGTACTTGGCAGCAACACCTAAGGCCAATCACATGCACAACAAACTAACGGTAAATATCAGTTGGGGGGGCCAGCACACGGGCAAAAGAGCTGGGGGCGGAGATCAGGTGGGGGGGTGTGGCACAAAAAATACAGCTATAAAGTTTACTGCTACAATTGGCAAATTGAAAATTGTGCGCTGGCGGCGATGGCGGCGGCCCCAGCCAGACCACAGCCATGGCCCAAGCCTTGGCATAGCCCAGAGCCAAGTGCGCGCATGATGCGTTCAGACCTGCCAGATAAGCTGCTGCGGGCAGCTGATGATGATGATGAGGACGACGGAGATGTTGCCGTTGCCGTTGCCGTTGCAGACGAAGATGCATTTGCGCAGACGCAGCAGTCGCAACATAGACGTTTCAATTTCAAAAACCATTTGGCCCAGCTAGACATTTTAATGAAGCGCTGCCAGCTCAAGCTCGAGACGCATAACGGACCAGACCAGACCAGGCCAGGCCAGGCCAAGCCGGGCTAGACGTTCACGCACAACAAGAACAACAACAGCAGCAGCAGCTCGTCACAGTCATAGCTTGATAAGGTCGCAGTCAGTCAGCAGCGGCGGCGGCATGCAAAACGAAAGACTTAAGCAACGAACTTGCTGGCTGCAGCAGCAACTAACACAAGGCAAAGGTGTGCATTTCAATGCCAGTCTTGAGCACAGTTAGTTCTTAAGTTCGATATGCTGGCATATGTTGAGCTGATTCATATAAATAATATGCACATTTTAATTTAAGCACACGCACAATGCATGCGTCGGCTAAGTGTTCAACATTTGTTGTTCTATATAGTTTCGGTCGGTTTTTCGGTTGTCACTTTCAACTTTCGCTTGGCGTTTGCTCTCGTTTCCACGCCCACAAATTCGTGAGTTCTGCTTCGCGTGCTACACACAACTTGACCCTATTCAGGCTATGCCTCATATATTGTAATTAAATGAAATCCCCCCCTTCATTCTCTCTCGCTCGCTGACTGCCTTGATTGGCCATCATAAAGCCGTGCTGCTGTTTAGGCGTTAATTTTGGGTTCTACGCGCCTTTTCGCCAAATTACATGTTTTCTGAGTGCACTTTCTCTGCCCCGACGAAAAGTGAGTTGCGTCTTTTCGCTGCTGCTGTGGCTATTGTTGTAGTTGTTGTTGTTGTTGTTGCCTTTGTGGGCGTACACCTAATTGCTATTTAATGCTAAAATCGATTGCGGCTTACCTTTTGCTTGGCGTCTGCTTGTTTGGCTATTGAACTCCAATCACATCACTGCAAATGAAGAGAGAGAAACGAAAATTAGTTTATAAAAACACTTGAAATAAGCAGCGAAAAACGCTTGAAACTAGCGCCTTTAGCCAATAATTGACATTGTTTCCAGTAAAAACAATTTGGGATTAAGATGTTTTGTATATAAATTTGTATATAAAAATCCGTACTTGCATATGAAATAAGTAAGACAACGACTAGGGATACCCTTAGCCCAGCTGCGAGCTTTTGTAAATATCCTAGCTTTCTCTAAACACAAGGCTCCTCCTTGAAGAAAGACTTTTCCTATTCTAAAAGAAACAATGAAAGTTTACCAAAAATGGAATCTGTGTATATTATACGAGAAGCTGCAACCCAACCAAGTTGGTTGTATCTAGATCTTAAAATTTTCAAGTTTTTCACATTCATGAATCCCGCCTGGCCCTGCAAGCCCGCCTCTAGCTACATTTGGTAGCTGCATGTGCCTTGCCTTGTTTGCAGCTGCAGTTCTTAGCTGTTTGTTAGTTTGTTGTTGTTGGCCCAGAGTCAATTTATTGGCTGGCATGCAAATCGGCTGAACGCCTGACAATTTTCAGTGCAATTGCTGAGCGTGGCCAAAAGTGAAAACAGTGCGCAGTGGGCCCAGGCCCACTTTTGCTTTCCTTCTCCAACTTTCAATTGGTGACTTAATTTCATTGGCAACAAAAGTGCTGCAATAAAAGCTAATGAAATCGAAGCGGGCCAACACAACGGCCTCATTGTTGTTAACGCCAGAGTGTCCAAGCAAAATGACTCGCGGCCCAGCGACAACAACAACAACAATAACTTTAGAGATCGCCAACAAGCTTGCTCAAGAAATTATCAAGTGCAGCGCGCTTTGGCACTTTTACTTTCATTGTTTGTAGCCGTTTTTTAGCCATTGTTGTTGGCATTTGGGCTGTTTGTGCTGTTGTTGGCAACGTTAACGAAGATTTTATGAGCGCCGTAACAAAATTTTCCCCCAAGAGCACACACATTTTGGACCATTTTCCTTTTAGCAGCAGCTAATGAGTAAAACGCTTTTGGCACTACAGCAACAACAACAACAACAATGGATCAGAAATTACAAAACAATTTGTCTGAAACGCTTAAACTTCGATTTGTATGGGAAAATGTTGCTGCATCTTTGTGGCATGTGATGAGAAAATAACACCAATATCAACACCAACACCAACACCAACTGCAATAACAACAACAACAAAAATGAATGCTGCCACTTGGGGTCTTATATAAGCAAATTAAGCATACGCCGTGTTGTTAGCTTCAGCAAGGCAAAACAAATCAAATGCACTTTGGTTAGAGCTACTTAATTAAATGCAAGCACAATAGCAAACAATTTAAAAGGGTGGTAGTGCTGGGCCAGCAGATACCCTGTATTTGACACCAAAGTACTTTGACAGGCTCTTAAAAGATGATCACTGAAATGATATCAGAAAAAGGTAAGCCTTAGTTGAGTTCTTGAAAATCGATATAAATTGAAGATATTTATATAAAAGGGCCGACGAAGGGGCTACTGATAGAAGGCGAAAGAGAAAATGAGATGATAAATAGATAGAAGAAAATTAAAGGCAAGGTGAAGATTCACAGGCAAATATGTAAGCTTTATAGACTTACATTCAACAAACAGATAGCTTGATTTCAAAAGAGTTATCTGAATGTTATGTGTGAATTCTACTTTTAGATGTAATATATTAATTACACTTTAAACTCATTTAAATTCCGCCTTCAAGTGACTTCATATGCTTTAAACACAACCTGAAAGAGAACCCTGTAAAATTAAAGTCGAGTTTCCCATTGAGAACAAAGCATAAATTGCAGGCCAGTGTTGCTCAGTGTAGCGTTGCAAAGGCTGCAGTGTGGGCGTGACTCGAACTGTGACTGCTACGAGCACTGTGGGCCACAAGATGGCTGCGGCGGGGGAGTACAGCAGCTGTGCAGCAGACAAACGCTAAATTATCGCTGTTAATCTTATGCACAGGCCGCAAGTTTTGGACTTGTGGTCTGTGTTTGTGTTTGTGCAGAGTGGCAGCTACTCGTATTAAGTGCAGTCACAGCAAACACGCTAACACAAACAACAACAACAACAAAAACAACAAGAATAAGCTAGCTGACTGGCAAACGTATCAATTAGCAGGCGACACAATCCAGCAGGCCTGGTCAGGTCCAAGTCATAGCAAACATTAAACTCTAACCCAAACCCAAAATATTAGATTCTCGATACACAACAAACGTTTTTTTTTTTTACTCTTTTAGTCTTCTGCTCCACCATTTGCAATATGGCTTTCTTTTGCAGCGAGGAGATGGAACTGTACCTGCTGCTGCTGCATGTGGACAACGCCTTCAATTGCCTAATGGAGCTGGGCCATCATGGTGGACTGCAGTTCAACAATGTATACGACGAGGATCATATCCTGAACGGCTTGTATACCAAGAAGGTGCAGCTGTGTCACGAGCTGTTGCGCATTGTCGAATATCTGCAGGACCAGTTGAGCAGTCTGGATATGAGAGCGACATTCTATGCCGACGTCGATACAGAGCATCGGCCACGCGAATCCTATATACCGACATACGAGTTGACATTGCGTAGTCAGCATACGGAAATTTTTTCCGTCATGGAGCACTTTAATACGCTGGAAAAGCGTCAAAACTATATGACAGAGAAAAGTTTTGCCCTGCAGAAAGCAAGCAAGTTTCTCTCCTCCGATGGGAACAGTGGATCCCAGCTGCTCTACTCGGAGAGCACAATTGTCGGCTTGTTAAAGGATCAGTCTGAAGCGGATCCGCTCGGCTTACAGCTCAATTATATCTTGGGTAGCATCAATGTGGAAAAGTTTCCAGCGTTTGAGCTGATGCTTTATCGCATGTTTGGCCGCAATCTGTTGATACGACACGCCCAAATTCCCATGAAGATAATGGAACAAGTGGGACATCAGCGTCAAATGGTGCATAAACATGTTATCCTGCTGATGACCACATCGGCGAGCATACGACCCAAATTGCTCAAGTGCTGTCAGGCGTTTCATGTGACCATCTTTGAGTGCCCCGAGAAGCCCAGCCAGCGTGCGCAGATGATCGCTCAGCTAAATCAGGATATACGCGATCTGGATGTGGTGCTCAATGAGACCCGTTCGGTGCGCAAACGCATATTGAGCACTGCGGCCAACGATCTGTTCATAATACGCATCAATTTACGTAAATCCATAAAGGTCTACGATCTGCTCAATCGCCTATATCCAGTCGGCGGTCCAGAGCATCAAAAGTATCTGCAGGCCGAATGCTTTGCACCCAAATCACAAGTAAATGGGGTACGCGATGCTTTGAACCGTGGCATGTTTGTTCCTCAAGGCGAAGAGATGATCTCCTCTCCACCGATTCTATTAAAACGCACTCGCAAACAGCGACACATACCGCCCACATATTTCGGACTGAACAAGTTTACAAATGGCTTTCAGAACCTAATTGATTCCTATGGCATCGCGGACTATAGGGAACTCAATCCGGCACCATATACGATTATTACGTTTCCATTTCTGTTTGCCATTATGTTTGGTGATCTGGGTCATGGCATTATATTGACATTCTTTGCCTGCGCCCTGATCTACCAGGAGAAACGCATCGAAGAATTGAAACGGACGAATCAAAACGACAATGAGATACTTAATATTTTATTTGCTGGCCGATATATTATTTTGTTGATGGGCATATTTTCAATATATATCGGGTTTATCTATAATGATGTCGTCTCTCGGCCGATGAATCTCTTTGGCTCCAGCTGGTCGTGTGTCTATAATGAGACCACAATTATGACCCTGACCACCGATCTGGCATTCAATCCAAACGATCCCAAATTCTATACGGGCCATCCATATCCGTTTGGTGTTGATCCCGTTTGGAGTATCAGTGGCGAGGATTCGATAACCACATTCAATTCGCTCAAAATGAAACTGGCCATCATTCTGGGCATTGCACAGATGATGTTTGGCCTCACCTTGTCGGCTGTTAATTGCATCCACTTGCATCGCAAGGCCGATTTATTTCTGGTGGTTTTTCCAATTTTCGTATTTATGATCTGTCTGTTTTGTTATCTCGTTTTTCTCATATTTTTCAAGTGGCTGATGTACGGCGGGTTGAAGCAGGCGCCCTACAACTCGGCCTGCGCGCCATCCGTGCTGATCACCTTCATTGACATGATGCTAATGAAGACTACGGCACTGGAGGTGAAGACCTGCAATGTGGGCATGTTTCCATATGAACGTCTATTGGAATATATCCTGGTGTTTGTGGCCTTTGCCACTGTGCCCGTACTGCTAGCCGGCAAGCCCATCTATTTGACCCGGCGCCAAAAACAGCTCACCAAGGAGATCGAGAAACAGGAACCCGATATGCATAAGAACAGCCATAATACCATACAGGAGATGCGCTCCTCGCTGCGCTATTCCGTTGAGTTTCAGAACGAGGATAACCGCGGTTCGGGACCCAAGCTACATACCGTCAACGATGCCCTTGAATTTGATATGACCGAAATCTGGATACACTCCGGCATACACACCATTGAGAGCGTCCTGGGCTCGGTCTCGCACACCGCCTCCTATTTACGTCTCTGGGCTCTCTCGCTGGCCCACAGCCAGCTGTCGGATGTGCTCTGGAATATGATTCTCGAGAAGGGTCTCAAAAATAAGTTACCCATTTATGTGGCAGTACCCATACTGGCCGTGTCCTTCTTTATTTGGGCCATACTAACGGTTGCCATATTGGTCATGATGGAGGGTCTGTCGGCTTTTCTGCACACGCTGCGCTTGCATTGGGTGGAGTTTCAGTCAAAGTTTTTCAATGGAGCCGGTGAGCCGTTTCGCAGCTTCTATTTTCCACCCTCCACTATACGTAGTTAAAAATGGGTTTCATTCGGTCCGGTTATGCTTGGATGTGGTATATTTATATTACATAAATATATATACATTGTAGGAACATGTAGTTAAATAAACTAAAGAGCGAGCTATAAGCAGTTTTAGTTGCTCGCTGTATTCCTTTTTTACAAAAATCGAAGAGATCTTTCATTAGTTGTGAAAAACTGGCATACAAATTTCTTAGTGCCTCATTCCGATCATTTTTATATCTATGCCTGAAATGTGTACATCCATTAGCAAACTATTGAGCGCACTTTAAGGAAGTTCTCAATAACTCAAGAAATTAATTATAAGCATTTCTCTAAGCTTTCATCAATTGCCTATCAATGCTTCGAGTTTTTTGCTGTCTAATGGCAGGCAAAGCCCCCAGGCGGAAAATGCTTGGAAAGCTGATAGCTGGAAAAACCAATTAAAGGCAGCCTAAAAACCAGCTGAAACACTGCTAAAAATAGCTGCTTTTAGCACAGCCCGGATGGCTGTCCTGGCTAATGCTCATAATTAACAGCAACCGGGCAGCAACAGTTGCTGCCGTTGCTGCCCACGCAAATGACCAGCATCTGCATTTGTGGACATTCCATTGCAATTAGCATTGGCAGTTGCAGCCTGGCTAAGGCCATAAACCAAAGTAAACTTTAAACAATTTCCATTTATTTGGTTTATGCCACTCGACGCGGCAGTGGCAGCAGCAGCAGCGGCAGCGGCCATTGCCAGCTGCCACAAGCAGCACGTTGCACGTAGCTGGGTGCCAATGCGGGCGCAAAAGTCGTCGACCCTTTTGAAGCAGCCTGCGCAGCAGTTTCTGTTGTTGTTGTTGTTAACGTGGCTGCTGCTGCTGCTGTTCTTGTCGTAGTTGTTTAGCTTGTTTTCTATACTCTATGCCACAGCTGAGTATTTGCTGGCTGGCGTGACTGCTCAAGTTGTTGTTGATGTTGTTGCTGTTGTTGCTCTTGTTGCCGCGCTCTGTTTGCGCCGCACCGCCATTAACACCCACGCCAGAACGACAACGTTGCCGTTGTTGTTGTTGTTGTTGCCCATTGCCGGGGCGAGTCTTGGCATAAATTATGAACAGCAACCGATGACGCATGCAGGCCTAAGTAGACTTGTTGCATGCATAAATAACTTTCGTTAGCCGCAGCACATGGCCCGGCACCGCAGCAGCCTATTAGATCAACGCTAAACAAAAGACACAACAGCAGCAGAGCAGAGCAGTTTGGAACGGTGCAGAGCAGCGGGGAGCAGTGCGGATCGGAGCTCAAGCTCTGGCAGAAATGCATTTTCATGATCAAAGCAGGTTTCAAGCTACGCAATGGTTGGCTCGGCCAAAACAGGCTTTGGCTTTGGCTTTGGCTTTTGGCCATAGCACGCGCCATTGTTTAGTTCAGCTGTACGCACGAAGTTCGTTGCCTAAGTCTTTTGTTTATATTTGGTAAGTTGTGTTCTAATGCGAAACGCTCTATGCCCATAGACGACCTGCTGTGTGTGTGTGTGTGTGTGTGCCCACAATGGGCAGCTGCTTAGCGCGTTTATGGCCAGCAATTGTCAAGTCCCTCGGGTGTGCAGCCGCACTGCAAGCAAAAGCAAGGTCAACGTCGTTGATGCTGCTGCTCTTGTTGTTGTTCTTGTTGCTGTAGTTTAAGTTGGCAACATTGTCGTCGCATGGGGAAAATCAATTTCAAACTAAAACGTCGCATTGCTGCCGCTTCCTTCTGCACGTCACGTCACGTTCCGCGCTGGGTCATCAATTTTTTGAGTGCATTGCGCCGGACCTTAAAGGGCGCTCAGCTACTGCTGCTGCTGCTGCTGCTTCTGCCGCTGTTGTCATTGTTGCCACGTTTTGTTTTATTTTATTTTTTTTTTTAGTTGCAGTTTTTGCAATTGTCTGTCTGGGCTGGCAGGCAGGCGGCCGGCACTGCTTTTGGGCTTTACATGCCGGGCATAACAAAAAAGGTGTTAAATTCAACTCATAGCAATGGACAGCGGGCAACACAACACAACAGTCGCAGCAACAGCCACTCGAAAAGGCCAAGCCAATGTCAATGCACGCTGAAGAATTTCTGCCACAGCAGAAGGACATTTCAGCTACGTGGAGCTACGATTGCGCCAGTGGGTCTCTCTCTCGCCGGGCCTGAAGCACCTCAAGTGCTTACCTCACTTCAGTGGCTGACGCAAAAAACAACAGCAACACATTTTGTTGGCAGCTGCTGTGTCGTCTCGGGCGAAACATTCAAATAAAGTCAAGAGTGCGACGGCGGTAACAACAACAATAGAAGCGGCTACCTGATGAAAACATCAACAAAGCAAATGAGCAGCGGAACCGCCACAAAATAACTGTAAACAGCGCGTTATTAAATAAATTAATTAACTTGCCACACAGTTGGCACTTTTTGGGCAAAAAAAATGAATGACATAAAAAAAAAAGTTGGCAAGTGAAAAATGCCATAGAAATTGCCACAAATTGTGCATTGTTTCTGTTTGTTTTTTTTTCCCCCTTGTTTTGATACCCTTGTGGTATGGGTATTATGATTTTGTCAAGAGATGTGTAACGCATAGACAAAGACACGACCAAGACTATAAGATATAAGTGTACATTGAAGAGATGTCCACAGATGATTCGATATAGCCATGCCCATCTGTCTGTATTTGTTCAAGAATTCTTACAGCTTTCGTCTTCTGTTGTACTTATCTAAGAATATATGGGAGTACATTATCATATAGCTGCCATAGGAACGATCAGTCACATATACATATGTTCGAAATCTTTTCTGTTTAATCTGATGTCTCAAGGACGAAGCTTTAATATTCTCTTAAAGCATTTTCACATTGAACTATTATATCATAAAGCTCCGATAGAAACAATCGCTTTGAGCTAAAGCTTTTGTATTAAAGTACTTTCAAGTCATTTGTCAACTAGGGCATTTAATCTTCGGCGTGCTGCTTATAGCCGTTCTTCCTTATTATAATTATTGTTGTTTTAGCCTTTTGTTAGCTCATTTTAATTAAATTTAACAGCCTCGCCGCTTTGCACTTATTTGTTTAGCAGATTCTTAACGCAGCGGATGCCGACAATTGGCCGCATTCAAGTGTAGCTGGCCAAATATTCTGGACATTTGGCTGAGACTTTCACTCCACAAAACGCTTTAATTAAAATTGCAAAAAGGAAAATTAATTTTAACTATGTCGGAATTTGTTTGGCAATTTAACCGGTTTTTGTTTTGTTTTTGCAACAGCAGCAGCCACAGCCCGAAAAAGTGAAATTTTTTCGAACTGAGAACCCATTTTTGGCATTTAGCAGTTTGTTAGCAGCAGAAGCAGCAGAATTTAATAAACAAATGTCCAAATACAGCGTTGCTTAAAAGAGAAATGTTAAGAAAACGATTTTATGCAAATGCAAATTAAGGAGAATATCAGCAGAAATAAATCAACCTGGGAAAAAAGCTGCTTAAATATGTGATCGACTCTAGATGCCGCACCAAATAAATGAGCACACTTAGGAAACATTAACATTCCATGAGCTAATCAGAGTTTAATCTGGTAAAAACAAAGCCAAAGTGGGTTGACGATATATATAAATATATAAGAGATAACAGACTCTAAGCAAATTAAACCTTTCCTTATAAGGATAAATTACAATAAGTTTATGCAACATGTGCAAATAATAAAATACTTTTAGGCTAAGGAGTTGCAATTTAATATACAAATTCAAAAATCTGATTCTAAAAAGATTTTATGGTAATAAAATGCACGTGTAAAAGATTCATGATCATCTGCAGCATTCGTTCGATTTAAGCATTCTTTAACAATTCACATGAACTATGCTCAGCGTCGGCAAGTTCGTTACTTCAGTCTTTTGTTTTGCCACCGCATGCATAATGAGAATGCGAATCGGAGCAGATACGCGAACTGTATAATGCGACGGTATATATGTCAATTACAGCACGATTTTTGGCAAATTTGCTTGTCTCTGGCACATTTCCAGGCTGCCAGCGAATTGTAGGTCAGCTTCGATACCGATTTATGTCGTCGGCGACAATAAATTTGTCAGCTTTTTGAGCACCGTTAAGTAAACGCAATGCATGATTTGTATTTTATAATGAGGGCGAGCAGAGACGACGCCGACGACAACGATGATGATGATGAAGACATTGACAAAGGCATAAAGCGCGCGCATTCAACTTCATTTGAAATCTGACGGGATTTACAATTTATGAGTGGGGAAGTTTGGCAAATTGTGTAAATATACTTTCAGTTTGTATATGAGGGCATACACAGTGCGTTAGCCGTGAAATTGCCAGTTACCAATGCTCGCATTTAAGTCATGTTCAAAGCAAATTTGATCAACTGCAAGTTAAACAATTAAGCAAGAAAATTAAACTTTGAATTTCGTGCGTTTCTAGCTGTAGCTGCATATAACAGATAACTGTAACTGTGTTGCCAATTTAGCTATTTTCTAGCTGCATTTTGTACGACGTTTTATACGGCATCCTTATGAGAAATACCGAATCTGTTTATCGTCTACCAATTGCGAAATATTATGTTTTTGTCATCATAAGTAAATCAAATTGTGAAAAAGTGACAAAAGAATATTTGAGAAAAAAACAGTGCAAAAGGAGGCTTATTTCATTTTGCTATTTATAGATATTTATATCTATTTATACAGATTTATAGCCATTTAAAGTTATTTAAAGCTCTTAAAAGCTATTTATAGCTATTTCTGGCTATTAAGCTTTTCTTAAAGTAAGCTTTCGCTACTTTTTTGAAGAGACAGTTGGCAACACAGTTCTGTAGTTGTATTTACATATCTCCAGCAGCCGCACAGTGCCCACGAGCTGCGAGTGTGTGCGTGTGTGTATCTGCGTGTGAGTATACGTATGTGTGTGTGTGTGTATAAGCGCTCTAGTTGCCAGCAGGAATCAAAACATCACGAAATCTCGTTAAAAACCACAGCGCAAAGCAAATACAAAATACAAATATGTGCCGCTAGCTTTGTTTTAACTGCTGCTGCTGCTGTTGCTTTTTACGAGCAAGAAGAAAACTCAGTAAAAAAATATATATACATATATAATAGACAAACAAAAACAGCAACGG